CACTTTCAATATTAATAACTTTAATTCATTAATTATAAAAGTGCTTTTAAAAAAATTATTTAAGTTGTTTATTATAAATAGAAATCGATATGAAATTAGCAAATTTATTTTTCAGAACTGGAATATCTTTTCGTCTCGTTGAATCTAAAGCTTTTAAGGATTTGATCAATATTGGCGGCAATCATATAGTAAATTTTTGTATCAAGGCACCAATTACAAAACCGTTTTTCTATACTTCAATTAACACATCGAGTATAAATCAAAACGCTGCAGTTGTTGCTGGTATCATCATTGAAGTAATCGAGATTCTTAACCCATAAAGGTTCAGAAGCATTATCACTGGCAAGCTCCAGTAATGGAATCTTCTCGTTAAGGACATTTTGCTAAAAGTTCAAAGACCATCAAAGAAACTGAGAAAATCATCAAGTTTGTGAAAAATCATCACATTGTTAAAGCAAAATTTGACCAAAAGAGAATCGCAGCTAATATTCCTCGCTCACTCACAATGTCTTTTTCGACTTGATGAACCAATTTAATTCAACGAATAACCTTTATATGGCAAAGTATGTTTTGATTCAACTTGCGGATGAGGAAAATGCATCTTTGAAAGAAATTGCTCCAAAATTAAATTCAGCCGCTGTTTTGATGCTAATTAAATCCAAAGCTTTCTGGGGTAGTTTGGAAAAACTCGCGAAAGATATCGAATATCCTTCTAACATCATTGGAAGACTTGAAAATGATGATGCTCCATTAGCTTTGGTGTACTTTTATTTCGGTGAAATATACAAGAAATTTGCAAATGAGGAAATTATTCAGGTAATGGTTATGAAGCGCTTTAAATTCCTTATCACTTTGAACATGGGAATTGCCTATATGCTGGCACCGAAGTATGCTGTAGAAGGATTCTATTTTGGTGAGGAAAAGACTGATATAATCAGTTCAATTTCAGAATTAGCCTCCAAAACAAAACCAAAAATTGCTGAGAAAGTTAAAAGAAAAATAATTGAATTTGTTGGAGAAATAACAACACTGACAGAAAAACGAAAAGAGACAATTTTTAAAATAAGTGCAAAGAATTATTAGAACATTGTTGGTCGTTAGAATTGGATCCGCCCTTGGAACTTGGTCGATTTTTGATTTATTCCTTCACGATTGAGGAATCACTTGACATGCGAACGCGTAAAAAAAATTAGTTTTCATATATACCAAGAGTGTTTTGTTGGATACAAAGGACAAAAAGAACTACATTTTAGAAGAAGGAGCAGTTCTCAGCGAGTGTGAGGGTGAAGAAGTTATAAATGAGCAAATGTAATACAAAAATAAATTAAATTTGTTTTAAAAGTTTTGTGATATAAAAATTCGTTTAAAAATCAAGAAAATAATTGGAAATATTTACTAATAAAATTATGTACAGAAAATCAAATAAAAAGTTATTTCTTTTAATTTTAAGTCATCTGCGTTTGATTTAAAAAACAATTTCTTGTATATTTGAAAATATTTAATTAATTTCACATATCATTTATCTGTTAAATTTGTACAAGCGTCATGTGCTCATTATGTAAATTATTATGCGCATAACTTTTGAATGGTATGCGCATATATTCGGCGATATGCGCATAAATCGCAAACCCTAAAAAATATAAGTTAATTTATAAATTTTTAATAACAGCGCATATGTATATATACTAATATAGCGTTGGAAACAAAAATCTTTGGTCATTTTTAGTATAGGCAGGCGCTTTTTATGAACACTAACCTTCGACGAGTTGACTGATTCAGCTCTTATGGCATTTAAAGGTAGCGTATTCCAAACATTCACGATGCGATTAGTGAAGAAATTAAATCTTTCTTAACAGTTTTTTACCCTTTGGCGTTCGAGTCGAAGATAATGTCCACGTAAACTATATTTGTAAATCGATGGTGCGTAGACTTGATGGGTTATCAAAAATAATTTAATCAATACCTTTTGAAATTTTAAACTGTTGAATCAGATCAACTTGAAATCTCCTTTCTTTAAGAGTAGTTAAGCCGAGATGAAAGAGTCTTACTTCATATGGCAAATGCTTTATTTCCGATATTGTTTTAGTTGCTTTATGCTGTACTTGTTCTAGAATAGCAATGTCTTTTTCATTGTGTGGTGACCAAGCCTGGATAGCAAATTCTAACTGGGGTCTTATATATGTTTTGTAGAGTGCTTTCCACAAAAAGAGTCCATGACTTCTAAAAATTTTCTTAAGTCTTTCAAGTTTACTGTTGGCTCTTGCTGCTGCTGATTCAACTTGATAGCTTACTTTAAGATTGTCTGATAGAAGTACTCCCAGATCATGTTTGTGTTTAGTGACGTCCAGTTGAGTTATGTTTCCACTCAAATCAAGCATTGAATAAGTTTGAGTAGATTCAGAGTAACCACGCCCAACGTGCATAACTTTACACTTATCGAAGTTGAGAGGCATATTCCATTTATGCGACCAAGATTATCTATGTCAGTTTGCAATGTTCTTTTATCCTCCTCAGATTTGAGAACTGCAATTATTTTGCAATCGTCAGCATAAATCTTTATGTGATGAGTAATATAGTCCGGCAGATCGTTTATATATAAGATAAAAAGAAGTGGACCGAGCACAGAGCCCTGGGGTACCCCGCTTGTTACATATTTCCATTTAGATTTATGCTTGCCAATTACAACCCGTTGATAACGATTTGTTAACCAGTTTGCTATCCAGTCTAAAACTATGCCGTTTATACCATAGGCTTTAAGTTTGTGTAAGAGTCTGAGATGTGGAACTTTATCAAAAGCTTGTGCAAAGTCAGTGAAGATGGTATCAGTGGCGCAGCCTTGATGCATTGCTTCGGTTAGTATATCCCGAGTTTCAAGTAAGTTCGATGTGCATCCTTTACTTTGAAGAAATCCGTGCTGTTCTTTGGATATTAGGTTAGTGCTAAGACAGTGATTTATGATTTTTTTGTGTATAATACCTTATATAATTTTGCAGGGTATTGATGTTAGTGAGATTGGTCTATAATTGGCTCGGTTCTGCTTGCTGCCTTGTTTAAAAATTGGGGTGACATTTGATCTTTTCCAAAGCTCTGGAACCTGTGAATCGCAAATTGATTTTTGGTAGATCATAGCTAATGGAATTGTAAATGCTGACGCGCAGTTGCGTAATACTCATGGGTGTATGTCGTCATATCCTTTTGACTTAGTTTCAATGAGCTTTTTTAGTCTTTCTTGAACTGAAGTTGTCGATATGAAATTTAAGTCTATAGTGCAAGATACATTTGTACGTGATCTGAAATCTGGCAGCGAATCTGGTTTTTCAGTAGTGAATACAGAATGAAAGTAATTGTTTAGAATATCTGAAATAACTGCACCGTCAGTTATGTTTTTATTGTCATCTTCGAGAGCTTGAAGTGAGTTATTAGTTTCTTCTTTATTTTTGATGTGATTATAAGGTTTCTTTGGGTCATTTTTGAAAACACTAGCTAACTGATGTTTGTATCTTTTAATAGCTTTTTTTATTACTTCTGATACATGTTTACAAGCTATTTTATGCTTACTCCTGAGTGCTTCATGTGTTTTAGTTCCAGAAGCGACTTATTGCCTCCAGAGATTACGTTTATGAAAAACCGCTTCTTTAACTTCCGGAACAAAAGTCACTGGAATGTATTTGCACACAGCTTCCATGTATTTTTTTACAAGTAGTTGGTAGTTAAAGTTAAAAATGAACCACATATTTCATGATCTAACAAGAAATATATGTTATATAGAAGTTAGATTGAAAGTTAGTAAACGTAAACAGTGATATTGAAATAAACCACATATTTTATGATCTAACTAGAATTATATATTAAATACAGAACAGGCCCGTAGTAACCGGGTGAACAGCAGGGGCAATTGCTCCCCCCCCCCCCCAAATAATTTTTCAAACAAATAATTTTGAAGAAATTTACTGAAAAAATGACTAAAAAAAAAAGAGAAGGTCCTCAAAACTGTTTTGGGGTAGTGCTGCCTTCTCCTCAAATAATTTTTGTTCCTACGGCCCTGTAGAAGTTATATGTTATATATAGAAGTTAGATTGATAATGAATCATTGAAACAATATATCTCAAATAATAGATTTACTCTGCATTAATGTAAAATTTACAATAAAAAAACAGGATTTTTTTTTCTTTTGAAGGATTAAGCCTCTTAGCCCTAAACTTCCTAAAGAAAAGAGGAAAATAAATTCATAAATTTTAAAATTGAATAGAAAATGTTGAAAGGAATTTAAAAAAAAACAACCTTTTATTCGGTTTTAAAAGTCATTCTCATTAGGGGTGCACCAATGCATCGGCCATTGTAACCATCGGATATTGCCGATAGTTAAAAAAAATCAGATTTTCTATTTTTTTGTTTGTTTCTATATTATATAAAAAAAATATAATAATTATATTTTTTTATACAATATAGAAAAACAAAATTAAAAAATCTAACTTTTTTTAACTATCGGCATTGGCCGATGGTTACCAACACAAAAGACATTTTAATAACTGCAGTAAGCATTAAGTTTCTAAAACTAGCTCTAAGGATAAGTTAAAACATTTTCAATTTTGTAACAAAAAGAAAAACTAGAGATTTTTTGTTCTTCAATAAGAAAAAAATTATTTTTCTCATCAAAAAAAAAATAAAAAAAAAATACGCGTTGTTTTGCATGCACTTTAGGTTATAACCATATACCGCAATCTAAATTAATTATCAGTTGAGTGGAGAAAAATCTAAACTAATAATTAGTAAATTCTCAAGATAAATTCTTTAAATTAATGAAAATTATATGGTAAAAAATATAAAATCAAAGTTAGATGGTTAGATGAAGAAACGTCCTCTGCTAATTGCAGGTAAAGAATTTATTCAAATATGAAATCTATATGATAAAAAATAGCATAAATTCTAAAGACAAAATAAATAAATTGAAGAGTACGGTCATTCTATCTGTTATAAGATTTCAAAAAAAAAATTCAAACTTTTATTTTTGATATAGAAAGTTTATATAAATAAAAAATAAATACAAATAAATATTTTTATCAATACTATAAGTTAAATAAATAAATTTCTTTTTTTTATCCAGTGTTTTTAACGTGACCACATATGCCCTGTTCTTCACAGTGCGCCCACAGAAATCTAGTGTTTTTTAGTTGTGTTAACAGTTATTTCGCTTTAGAACTTATAAAATAAGTTTAAAATATTGTAAAATAATGTTATATTGTCATATAAACATTAATAGCAAAGATTATTTGCAATATTTCGGTTTTAAGGAGCAAGGATGGATTTTTTTATATCAATCCATTTCTATTAATAGTGTTCAGTATTGGACACTTAGAACAAGAACAATTTACTTCTGATACATAATTCATATTTTGATTACTTGAGAGTTTAGGAATACATGGTTCTAAAGAGTAATTTCTTATAGGTACACGCAAACTGTATGCTTGATGAAAATGATTTGAATTTTCGCGTAATATGTTTTCGTTGTATGCTGTGTTTAAAAGATAAAATGGAATTCGATGCTTCCCGTGCTCAGGTGTAAGAATACTTTCCATTGTAAAATTCTTAGATAAAAAATTTTTGTGTTCAAATATGTATTGGTTTGTATGATTATCTTGGTATGAACAATTAACAAAACTTGGTCCAAAGCTTCTTTGTCGGTGACTTGCTCTTCGTTTTCGGTAATCACCAAGAGAAAAATTTTTTATGTACCTTGGGTGTATACCCCAATAATTTCCACGTCCGTTTCGAGCTCTTCCAGCTTTTACAAAACATTCACTAAGAGATAAATTATGACGAACACAATTTCTCCAACCTTGTCCTTTTTTAAGAAATTCAGGAAAATTTTCCGCAATATATTCGTAAACGTCTCCAAGAGGAAGTTTTTTCTCTTTAGAGCTCAAAATAGCTTGCGCAATTATTGCTGTGTACGATGGTGTGTTTCGTATCTCTTTTTTTTCAATTAAGTCTTCACTTTTAACGCATTCATTTAATTTATCAATTGAACTGTTTATGTTATTATCGTTATTAGCATTTACTTTAATACTTTTCTCTTCAACTTCATATAAGTTTTTACTCAAAATTTGATCTATTGAAAAGTAACTAACTTTTTTTCCATTTTTATTTTCAACTGTTTTTTTATCTTTCTCTTCCATTGATATAGTCATTTGCATCTACTAGCTGACTTCTGTTGATAAGAATTTGTTTTCATAAACTGGTAAAAATTAAATCATTCCGCAATTTAAATACTCTCACTGCGGGGGACATTAGAAAAAACTTTATATAAGCTTTATATAAACAAGCTCAGTGTACTTCGAAGTAACCTACTTCGAAAAACAATGCAAATCGAAAACGTTTTTAAAAGATTCAATCATTTTAAATTGAATACATTCGTATTTATTTTAATCTTTTTAAATTGCTAAAACAGATGACCGACAAATAACAACTATTTTCGTAATAATCAATATTATAAAAAACAATTGTTTGAGAATGATATGAACAAAAAATATATATATATATATATATATGTATATATATATATATATATATATATATATAATATATATATATATATATATATATATATATATATATATATATATATATATATATGTATATATATTTATATATATATATATATATATATATATATATATATATATATATATATATATATATATATATATATATATATATATATATATATATATATATATATATATATAAGTAAAAAAATTAGTCAATAAAATAAACAATAAACGAAATATTTTCTTCTTTTAATTTTACAAAAATTACTCTAATTATAAATTTTAGCACTAGAGGCCTTTCAAAAAATCATCCTTTTTGAAAGGCCTCTAGTGCTAAAATTTATAATTAGAGTAATATTTGTAAAATTAAAAGAAGAAAATATTTCGTTTATTGTTTATTTTGTTGACTAATTTTTTTACTTATTGGTTATAAACATATTTTAAGTTATATATATATATATATATATATATATATATATATATATATATATATATATATATATATATATATATATATATATATATATATATATATATATATAAGTGTGTGTGCACTTTTAAATTCAAACAATTGATTTCATTATATTTTTTTATGGCTTTTTCCTTCACTCAATACACAACTTATTTTGAAAATGATAAATCAACAGTAAAAATATTTAAAAATTTTTAAGTTATAATGATAAATTCTAGTGATCTTAAAAAAATTAAATAATAGAAACACGCTCTTTTAAAAAAAAATAGCGTAACTAGTATGGGAAAAAATTATATTTGCAAAATATAACGTCCTAATCATCTCTCCCAGCGTGTTACTAATGTTGTTTATAGTGGTTCCAATAAACCCCTTACTAACACTTTGTTAATTAATTTATTATTTAGCGATTGCTTGCTCATTGTAATAATTGAAAATAAATTTTAAAGTTTTAAAATGTTCTTAACTCATGTGTTAATAAATTAAAACAATGAAGTAAACATCATCGGTAAGAAAGAGAGACCGAGGGGATTTAGCTAAACATAAATTTGAACAAAACGCTGAGGTATGAAAAATGTCAACCGAAACAAATGCATATTTGTAGTTATATTTTATAATATAACAGCAAGTTAATTTTTTTTTAAATATATTTATTCTATTTGTACTTTGATATACAATTTGAAAATACATAATCATTCACGAAAACTAACAAAATAAGACGGAAAAACTAATGAATGAAGCAATTCCTTTCCCATATTGGGAAAATTTTTTTGACGTAATCTTTGTTATATATTAATAAAAGTACAGTTAAACTACTACTTTATATATATATATATATATATATATAATATATATATATATATATATATATATATATATATATATATATATATATATATATATATATATATATATATATATATATATATATATATATATATAAATGATGCCATCTTGAATGGAAGTTTTAATAATTTATCTTAAAAACATCAATAAATTCGATTTTTCTCAATGCTGTATTTTTATTATTTTCAAGAAATTTTTGCAAGATTTCTGATACATCTTCAGCTCAAACAAAAAGAAACTTTTTTTCGTTTGTTCGTTAAACTGAAGTTTCTGGTATCAAATATTTAGCAAAAGTTTCTTAAAAATAATAATTATAAATACTCATATACGTTTACATATATATATATATATATATATATATATATATATATATATATATATATATATATATATATATATATATATATATATATATATATATATATATATATATATATATATATATATATATATATATATATATATATATATATATATATATATATATATATATATATATATATATATATATATATAATACTCCCTTAAATACAAAAGTATTAAAAAGGATAAAAGGAAAATAGCTTATTTTATTTTTTTAAACAAATAAAGTTAAAAACACTTTGATAATATACAATGAACGAATATTCATAACGGAAAAAAACTTGCAAATAAGCAGATTAAATTAATCTTTTAATGAGTATAACTAACGACAAAGTCAACGAGCGTCTGGAAAAGAAGCGGAAAAGTATAAAAGGTTGTATTTCTTAAATTTTTAAAGAAGATAATCTATTTTCAATACACAAAATTTAAAGCTTACTTGTTTGTTTAATTCATTTCATAAACATTTATTTGTAGAACACAGTTAAATTAATATTATCGTGGAATCAGGAAAAACATTCATCCGTTTTCGGCATGATTTTTTCCGGCACTATAGATGCTTAACTTAAATACTTCTGAAATGGTCCACTAACTACAGTAATTTTGTTTTTGTCGTGTATTTGAAAGTTCCAACCTTTAACAAACCTTTTATAACTAAATATGACCAAAAAAGTATAATGAAATAAAAACATTTTTACAATTAAAATATGGTTAGAGTTTTGTTCAAATTTAAAAATATTTTATTAGTTTCATTACTTTATTTTCATTTTCACTTTCAAAGTTTTTTTATTAACTTTCTATGTTTATTGACTTTTCTTCAAAAAGTTTTTTTAAAGTTTTTTTTTTTAATAATAATAATAAAATAATTGATATGATTTGTTAGTTTTTAGAGCAGAATACACAACTAATTGCCATGATTTGGTACTTTTGGCAACCCATCATTTGAATTGTCAGTAAAATTTTCAATATTTTAAAGCTTTAGCTTACCTTTGCTTTTAACTAAAGCTATTTCAAACAATATTTAAGAAAATATAATAATATATAAAACAATTTAATAAGTAGAACAACAACTTATTCACAATTTAGCCAAGATTAACTAAGGTTAAATTTTGGTGACTGAAATTAGTTTAAAAAAAGTAAAAAACATCATAAATATTTATGTTACTTTTGTTTTTGATAACATACATTTTTTTGCAATTCTTTTTTTTTATTATTTCTTTAATTAGAGTACAAACAAAATTCAATAGTTTTATCATAGAGCATTATTAGAATGTCATATAATAAATCTGTTTTCAATTTCCACACTCGCTAATAACGCGAAACCTGAGGATTTAAACCTTTGAAACTTCTTTGGTGAATTTGAAACTTTTAATACTTTTGTGCAATAATTTTGTTAAAATATAGAAAAAATAAAATAAAAGATTAATAGAAATTTTATATGGTTGATACATAATTTTTATATTTTCTAATTTTTTTATTTTAAATAAATAGTTAAATTAAACCGTATCAGAAATTTAAACGAAATGTTTTAAAGATTTCATTTCTTTTATTTACTTTTCTTTGTTGTTGACAATAACTAGTTAAATCCTATTATTTTGTAGGTAGAAAAAAGACACAGATGTATGTGCATATACATATATGTATTTAGACATATAAAGATATAGACATATTTGAAAACTTTTTGTTGTGAATTTCTTTTTCTTTACTATTTTATTATTATTATTATTATTATTATTATTATTATTATTATTATTATTATTATTGTGATTATTATTACTATTATTATTTATAATAAGTTAACTCTGCTGGGGTAAATCAAAATCAACAAGGTTAATTAAAACAGCTGTTTTTTATATTTCAAAACTAAAGCATTTTCTGAAAATGTCTTGTTTTTGTCTATATATAATATATAATATAAAATAATAATAAATATATAAAAGTAATACTTTAGCTCAACAGTTTGGTTTAAATACCATTGTTTTTACGAAGAATAATGAGAATAATGAAAAGTCAGCCAATGACTTCTAGCAAGTAATGAAAAGTCAACTAACGACTTCTGATGACTTGCTATAGAAAAAAATATTTTTATTGCCGCACAGTGGTGCAGCTATGGCTAAATTTGAAAACTCGATATGAATAAAAACAATTAATTTAATAAAAACGTTTAGCACCCTCAACACTACAAAAAATGTGTTAATCTCTCTAGAGAGCTTTGGAATTTATTTAAGCAATTTTTTTTTAAGCATTAATTCACAATTAAAAGTAGACAAAGAAAACGTTAAAAACTTTTAACGCAAACAAAGTTTTTTTTTTGTTTTTTTTTAATTAAAATTTTTTATTTAAACAAAAGATATCTATACTATTTGTTTTCAAAATATTTCTAAAACAATTCAATAGCTGTTATGGAACCAGTTTTGAAAAAAAAGTGATTTTTAAATATTTAATAATATTTCTAAACATTTATCATTAAACTCCAGGAGGTTTTTACGTCCTAAATTTTCTTTAGTCAATTTAAATTAAATATATTTAAAAAAATTAACTTGTTTGCTAAAATTTCAAAATATAAAGGAGTTTATAAGGAGCTAGAGATAAATAAAAAAAAAAGAAAAAGAAAAAACTTGTTTAGTTTTGTTGTCCAGACTGTAAAAATTTGATTTATTTTGTTTTTAAGATAAATAAAGTATTAGATTAAGATTTTGAAATGAAGTCTGAATAGAAAGACTTAACTCTCATCTTTGGTTACTTTGGTTACAAAACCATTTAAGTTTTATGCTTTGTTACCAAGGGAACTAATAACACTAAAACCAAGGACTTTAATGTTGCTTGTGCGCTAGTAATACAAAAACAGTAAATATTTACTTTTTTTAGTTAGTTAATTTAAGTTACTCAAAGCCACAGCCTTGTTTTTTAAGCCACAGCCTTGTTAAACTCATCATCAGCTGAGTATACGCATCTATACCTAACTCGTATTTCGGCCACTTTTGTGTGGCATTTACGGTAAATTATGAGTTGTAGCAACTATGATGAATGAAAACTGTCTAGTAGTTGTTTAAATTTATCAAGTG